GRTTWYCATCCVATTTCATCCATTTTCASGCTATTGGTAGAATTTCTTGTATTATTCGTGTTGGGCGACTTTGCTTGTTGTAAGTTTAGTATTTTAGGAGATATATACATTAAATTTATTRGAGTGCGGGGCCACGSCCACTTTTTCAAAAATTTCTCCCACAGGTGCCCKTCGCTACTGTGCCAAATTAGAGTTTTATATCTAAGGTGTATAGTTATGGCACTTTATAGGTTATCGGTTAATGGCGATTTGKGGGCGTGGCAACGGTCGGATGACGCTCATCTACGAACTCGATTGTTTGTTTGTACAATCGAAACAACCTGCATAACAGTTTCATCAAGATATCCCAAATTTTACTCAGGTTTAAGCTTGTACGGGCGTTTACATACGTACATACATATGCATGTATATATAGCCCTATATCTATCTCGATTAGTTTTAGGAGATACGYGCAACGGTGGTGAACAAACCTATAATACTCTGTTGCAACTGGTTGCAAGAGCATAAAAATGTCGAGCATAATCCTCTAAGCCCAATATTCCAGATATAGTGATTTTTAACTTTACAGCGATTAGCGACTTTTCAACTGACCTAGTATACTGATTTCCAATTATTTGGTTAACCTTTGCCTATATGTTATATTTTCAATATATTTAAAATAGTCCCTTTGGTTGATTTTAATATAAATATCYTGGACACGAAAAAACCTAGTAATGAAACTAGAAGTAATCTGGAAGTATTTTAAAGTTAAAAGATAGCCCTCTTAATCGATCAGAAATAACTTTACAATTATAGGTCATGTCGTCCGAATGGACGAAAACACTCCAGCTCTAAAAGTATTCGGCGCAGTACCCGCTGGGGGAAACAGATGRCAAGGAAGAACTGCACTCCGTTGAAAAGAAGGACCTGGCTTCACTCGGAGTCTCCGATTGGCGCCAATTAGCGAAAAGAAAGAMCGACTGGCGCGCTGTTGTAAACTCGGCTATATCCRCGTAAGTRGTGTCTAYGCCAATAAAGRAGAAGAATATTAAATGTCGTCGAAGGCAGAACATATAAAATATTTGATTATTGTAACTATATTTAATTATAGAGGAGTGAGTAATTACAAGCGTTCGGAGGAAGATGATTAATTAGAAGCGYGATTTTGATTTGGAAAATCATATCGATAGCGAACAGCATTATATATTTATTATATTGGAATAAAGAATTAAAACAACAGTGCTCAATATAATTGATAAAGTCTTCCCATTTCGAATGGTCCATTTAAAATAAACGTTTCTACGACTTCGAAATGCATTAGTCATAAGCTGAACTAAGCTTTAGTTGCATAAATATTTCTGTATATTTATTTATTTATTAAATGAAAAATAATAATACAATTATTATCTTACATTGTAAGAAGCACTAGCTGCCAGAGCTTACAACTATGTATTTGTGTATATATTTGAAAATATTGTATTGATTAAATAAATATGTACATTTGCATATATGTATGCATATTACTGTAAAATATATGGAARATGTATTACTGACAAATTATTCACATTTCACCATTCAATAACAGATTTTTATTGCTTCATTCCGGTAGAAATTGTTGCGGCGCACAAGTACTTCATAGTTGGAAATTCTCCGCTCACAACCATCGAAGGGAATGTAGAGTGTACCGTGCGAAGGTTGAATTTTACCAGGTGTCAGACTGCCACAGTAGTGGGCCCTACCCACATACAATATTTCGCCGTTGTCAGTGCGTCCTGCCTCTATAGCACCTGATGGTACCATACCATTTGAAGCCGGCATCCAATCGTAACCCTCACCGACGAGAATTTCGAAACTTTCTTTCTGAATCTCTTGACCCGCGTACGACACGTAGGCACAAGCGCGACTCGGTATCGCTTTGCCTGGTAGCAAATCGCCATTGTGGAAGCAGCGACAAACGACAATTGGTGACATGTCGGTATCGTGTCCGGCGTATACAGCATTTGGTGGCGTATAATTGGCGCTTGAAACTACCCAAGTATCCGATTGTTGCGGACCATTCCCAACTGGCTGKCTGGGTGGTATATAGGGTGGAATTGGTGGGGTGGGTGGATAAACTGGTACACCGATTGAGTGATATGGTGGCGGCGGATCGCAAACTGGATGCGGATTGTAGGGATCGGTTGTTGCTGGTGGAGCGAGTGGTTGTGGCATTGGCATAGGCATTGGTGGYCCGAATGGGGGCTTCACATCTAGTGGTGGTATGTATGGTTTTACGTCCACAATGGGCGGTACGGGATATAGTGGTTTTATGTCCTCTATTGGTGGTGGTGGTGGTGGYGGCGTTGTATCACCTACTGTCCATCCTTCAGGGCGTTTTTGCTCCACCAGAATTTCATAAGACTCCAAGCGACGTTCGGCCGTTTTGAATGGTATGAATAAGGCGCGATGAACTGATGAAACCTTTCCAACACTCAAACTGCCTTCGTAATGTCCACGCCCAATATAAACTGGTTGACCCAGGGCTGTCTTGCCACAAACCACAGCATTCTCTGGTATAACATGATCATAACAATGRCGCCAGATAAGATTTGTGCCGCAGAGTACCTCAAAATGATCCTTGGGAATGGCTTCGCCACGCCAAGACACAAATGCAATTTGCTTCTTGGGCACAACCTGTGCCACTAAAGTGTCACCATTGTGGAATGTGCGACCGACGTAGATAGTATCGCCCTCAAAGTCGTTACCACCAATTACGGCATTTGGTGGAATGGCGGCGTATGCGGACGAATGCACCCATTTGTAGTCTAAATTTTAATTAAAAGATAAAATTAAATGTATTTTCCGTGTTTTAACCAACTAAACTATGAAAATTCAACAAAAGGGTGCATACGTCCGCTGTGTACGAGTTGGTGGAATATAACAATAAGTAAATCTTAGTTGTATRTATTATATATRCATACATGTGTATTTCGTATTAAATATGCTTTTTATTTTTCCTGTTCTTTTCATACAAATTTATTCTTTTTTATAGAAAATAATGAAAGTTAAACCCGGCAGAGAACTTCGTATGAGTCGACGCGGATTTCGCGACCACCATATGGAATGAAGAGGCAGCGTTGCAATTGTGAAACTAAACCGGGAGTTAAGCTGCCTTGATAATGGCCGCGACCGACATACAAACGATTACCGTTGCGTCCGACGCCGCTCATTACAGCGTTCGGTGGGATCACATGATTATACACATGCACCCAGCTATAACCGTAGCCACAGAGCACATCGAAAGATGTCTTATTGATCTCGTAACCGCCACAACAGACGTATGCACTACCTTTGTTGGGAACAAACTTAGCAGGCAGTAGCTCACCTTCATGCATGGCACGAGCCACATAGATAGGAGCGCGATCCGTATCRTAGCCACCAACGACGGCATTCGGCGGCACATGGTATGGTGTTGTGGGCACCCATTGATCTGCAGCCTGTCTGATGAGTACTTCGTATGAGTCAAGACGCACTTCATTCCCACCAAACGGTATATACAAACAGCCATGCGATGGATGTATCTTGCCAACGGTCAAACTGTTGGCATGATGGCCGCGACCTATGTACAATGGTTCGCCATTGCGTGTGGTACCGCTGCGCACAGCATTGGGCGGCACAGCACCACCATAGCATGGAACCCAAGCATAGCCTTGACCCACAAGCACTTCATAGTGTGTTTTCTGTATCTCCTTACTGCCCCAGCAGACATAAGCGCAACCTTTGCTGGGTATCACTTTGGCCGGTAGGTTATCGCCCTCGTGGAATGAACGACCCACATAGATGGGCGTGCCGTCACAGTCGTGACCACCAACAACGGCGCCCGGTGGCACCGGCTGATATGGTGACGAATGTACCCAGGTTTCTGAAAAGAAATAGATGCAATTAAAGTCAACGAATTGATATATAAATTTGGCACTACAGTAGATTTAATATGATTTTTCTATGTTTTTTTAGAAAATGTAAAAGTGTTTGCGCATTGTGAATGAAAATTTTGCAAATATTGCGTAGTCGAAAAAGTCTTTTCGCATAAAAAAATGATAAAATGAGAAGTGTTATTCTATTGGTCTTATGAGCTTTCGCACAAAGTATGAATCATTTCAATAATTCGACACATACATRCATGTGTATATAGTACATAGAAGTAATGAAAGTATTTATGTATCGTTACCGTTGGTTATTTGCTCTTTGCCTTAAAAGCTTAGATAATGTATGATTTMTTTATTACCAAAGTATTTGTGTGGCAAAAACCAATAACATTTTTAATTATGAAGGCAATTTACCGTGTTGAAAAACAGCACCGGGTTGCACCGAAATCGTAGCGCCTAAAAATATGCAATTACGTTTTAATATTAAACTTTTTGCTTACTCAAATGCAAAATTTTCGCAAATTATTATGTGCTTTTGTGTTTATGGAATTATATTGACACTCGCACACAATGATCTGAGTTATAGATAAAGATAAAGGGTTATCACTGCACCGATCAGCGATCAAATTCAGGCAAATATGTAAGTTCATAGTTAATTTAATCACATGCTTTATTAATGGAAAATCGTTATCAATGCTAAGAATATATGTATGTAAA